TTTTTTTCATAAAGCTAACAAAACGATATTTGCTGTATACAAATATGATCACTCAAAAATCTAGAATTAAACAAATGCGTTGAGCTGAAGCAAAAAGAGGTTGAAACCTTAAAGCAAAGAGCATTCACTCTCTCTGATAAAATGCGCGTCGTTAATGTGTAGTTTGTAACGTAAGTGCACGTATACAATGTTACGAACATGGCGTGCTCGAGCTCATCATCTCGCAACATGTTTGATTCTCTGCAATCCGTGAACTAGTTCACCTCGCGCTTGCCGCGATGTCATAACATCGTGAAACTCTCCTAACAACGCGCCGATGTTACGAATTGTTCGCACCGCGTTTCGCTCGCGTGTTGGGATACGGGACCGTGCAAAACAGCTGAATTTGGCGCGAGTCACGCTCGTCACATGTTGCGAGCTTGATGTTGCGACATACAGGGGTTTACTGCCGTCCCTGATAGCTTAGTCTGTTTTTCAAAGTAAGTAAATATACAACATTTGTTTATCTTTTGTATACATGAATGATCATTGAACTTACCTTGAAAGAATAAAATATGGAATATTGACAGACAGTGACGAAGAAGACAAACCCCGATAGACGTCCGTCCTCACAGTTTACTATATTCAACAAGAAATGTAATACATTCAGAGAGTAACCGAATAATCCAAAGCCACATTCAATAAGACAAACAAACAGTGCCCTGGAAAATGATAGAAATATTAAAAAGGAAGAAGGTTAAGAAGGGACAATTATTGAAAAATCTAACAAGCCATATTTACCAGGAAGGCGTAGCTGGAATACCCGTACTAGTCCAAAAGAAGGGCATTTGGTATCTCGGCGATGCAGCATCGAATCTGAAATACATATGAAATGCAGTTGAAAGAGGAAGTTTAGGTTGAAAGATGAAACCTTTCAGGTCCTACAAGCTCATGAACTTCAAGAGGTGTGTTTACCGGCCAGAGAAATTGCATTTCTGCAAACTAACGCTTAAAGATTATGCAGAAGAATTACGTAGAGGGGCTTACGCTCGGTGTCGTCTAAGTCTTCCCATATTTGCGCGCATTCCGCCTTCAGTCTATTCAAGGTTGCTTTAACAGTGCCGACACTCTCCCGAGAATAGGGATTGGACATAGCCAAATTGAGACCTTCCAATGTTGATAGCGATCAATGGTTGCAATCTTGAAAGCAGATAGCTATGAAAAATGCGAAAATTTTCTTGTAAACAAAAGAGTCTGCAGCAAACAGAGAAGCACTTAAGTATTTTAAAAAGATGTAAGAAAGTCTCGATATCAAAG